TCGGCCTGCGCGGCGTAGAAGAACATCCAGGGGCACCCAAAACCGCCCCACGACGGCCCAAAACCCTCCCACGAAACCCCCAAGACGGCCCCAGAGGGCTCCAAGCCGGCCCCAGGGTCGCCCAAGACGGCCCAAAAGTGCCCCCAGCCTGCCCCTGACGAGGCCCAAGAGGGGAACCTCGAGCCGAAAATGTGGATCCTTCCGCCCGAAGAGACTCCCAGGAAGCCCGAAGAGGGGGCGGTCTCCATGGGGTCCGCGGCATGATGGGTCCTTTCACGGCACGGTGGCATAACGACATCAAACACGCATTCGCTGAGGCGCTCCGCAAGGATGGTGCGGTCGTCGAAGTCGAGTCGCACATCCCGGAGCTCTACACGACAGATCGGAACGGCAGCGTGACGGCGACGATCTTGGACGTTCGCTGAAAAAAACTCACGATGTGAAGTGGGCGTGACTTGATGTCACGGTGCACTCTTATCCGGGCGGCAGAGCTCGCTCGTCAGTCACGGACATGCATCTGGCAACTCGCGCCGCGGAGCGACCCAAGCGCCAACGGTATGGTGATCGCGTCGCGGCCTTCCAATTGATATCGGCAGCCGGCCGGGAGAGGTTGCCTTGGCCATCCTTCGCCAGATCGACGTGGACACGGCCAATCACGCTTGGGTGACGCGGGGCCTCCCAACGCCGCCACAAAGCCGGCCCATACTGGCGACCATCAGCGCTGCCGCGGTTGCCGCCCCGCCGAGGCGGCGGCCATCCGCGGCGCCATCGCGCCACTGCCACCAGTGAAAAAGGCGGCCTCTACCAAATGCAGGTCCTAAATTCAGGGCGTCGTCTCGCACTCGACCGTGGAGTGCACTTGGTGATCATCATCACCATCATCATCATCATCATCATCATCATCATCATCATCATCATCATCAGCATCGTCCTCGTCGTCGTCGTCGTCACCATCAGTATCATCATCATCACCACCACCACCACCATCATCATCCATCACCATCATCAGCAGCAGCAGTATCATCATCAGCAGAATCATGATCATCGTCATTACCATCATTTAATCATCTGATCATCTTATCACCAAATCATCACCATCACCATCATCATCATCATCAGCATCATCATCATCATCATCATCAGCATCAGCATCATCATCAGCATCGTCGTCGTCGTTGTCGTCATCATCGTCATCATGAGCATTATCAGCATCAGCATCATCAACATCATCAGCATCATCAGCATCACCATCATCACAGCATCATCATCAGCATCATCAGCAGCATCATCATGATCAGAATCATCATCATCATCACCATCAGCACCAACAACAACAACGACAACAACAACAACAACAAGAACGAGGCGCAGTTGACCGGCCCGTCCAGTGGGGAGCTCCACAGCGCCTCCTCCCCTAGGGACAAGGCCGACTTGACCGGCCCGGGGGCAACCGCGGGACCCCAGCAACCCCAGCAACCCCAGCAACCCCAGCAACCCCAGCAACCCCCAGCAACCCCGAAAGCTTACCTCCACAGACCAAGCTCTCAACGCTACGTCCTCCATGCGGATTCTGACAGCACGACGCGTGTGCGCACCGGTGCAGCGAGCTCTTGAGGAATCCTATAGGATCCTCGAGAAATCCTATAGGATCCTATAGGAAATCCTATAGGATCCCTTAGGAATACTATAGGATTCCTTAGGAATCCTATAGGAATCCTATAGGATAGGAATACTATCCTATGGGATTCCTTAGGAATCCTATAGGAATCCTATAGGATCCCTTTGGAATCCTATGGGATTCCTTAGGAATCCTATGGGATTCCTTAGGAATCCTATAGGAATCCTATAGGATCCCTTAGGAATCCTATGGGATTCCTTAGGAATCCTATGGGATTCCTTAGGAATCCTATAGGAATCCTATAGGATCCCTTAGGAATCCTATGGGATCCCTTAGGAATCCTATGGGATCCCTTAGGAATCCTAGAGGATCCCTTAGGAATCCTATAGGATTCCTTAGGAACCCTGTGGGATCCCTTAGGAAATCCTATGGAATCCCTTAGGAATCCTATAGGATCCCTTAGGAATCCTATAGGATTCCTTAGGAACCCTGTGGGATCCCTTCGGAATCCTATAGGATCCCTTAGGAATCCCATAGAGGAGCTCTATGAGCTCTATGAGGAGCTCTGCTAGGATCCTATAAGATCCTATAGGATCTATAGGATCCTCTAGAAATCCTATGAAATCCCATAGGAAATCCTATAGGATCCTATAGAAATCCTATAGGATCCTATAGGAAATCTATGAAATCCTATAGGATCCTCTAGAAATCCTATAGGACCCTATAGGATCCTATAGGACCCTATAGGATCCTATAAGATCCCTTAGGAATACTATAGGATTCCTTAGGAATCCTATAGGAATCCTATAGGATCCCTTAGGAATCCTATGGGATCCCTTAGGAATCCTATAGGATCCCTTAGGAATCCTATGGGATCCCTTAGGAATCCTATGGGATCCCTTAGGAATCCTATAGGATCCCTTAGGAATCCTATGGGATCCCTTAGGAATCCTATAGGATCCCTTAGGAATCCTATGGGATCCCTTAGGAATCCTATAGGATCCCTTAGGAATCCTATGGGATCCCTTAGGAATCCTATGGGATCCCTTAGGATTCCTATAGGATCCCTTAGGAATCCTATGGGATCCCTTAGGAATCCTGTGGGATCCCTTAAGAATCCGATGGGATCCCTTAGGAATCCTATGGGATCCCTTAGGAATACTAAGGGCGTGAGTGGTCTAAGGAGCTCGTTCTGCTAAACCCCCTTTTTCCCCTTCGGGGAGGGGGTTCCCCCTCCCCCTACCCCCTCCCCCTGGACCTGGAGGGAGGGTGCCGCGAGCGGTTGGAGCGTCCAAGATGGCCCAAGATGGCTCCAAGCGGGTCCCAGAGAGCCCAAGATGGTCTCCAAGATCGCGCAAGATATCCCAAGATGGTTCAAGATAGCTATCAACATGCATCCAAGAGCTCTGGAGACCGCCCCAGGACGGCTCCAAGTGCCTTTCGAGCCCTCCAAGGAAGCCCTCAAGAGGCCAAAATCATTCAAATCCTGTATGTTTTTCCGATGTTTTTTGCATTGTCACCCTTTCGCGCCCGATGGCCTCTTGAGGCCTCAAGATGGCTTCTGGATGGCCCAAGAGGGCCCCAAAAGGGGCCCAGGGGGGCCCCAAGACCGCCCCAAGAACACCCAAGACCGCTCCAAGAGCGGCCCACGAGGGCCCCAAGAGGTTCATTTTCGGGCCCCGACGGGGGGACGCAGTTAAGGACCCCCCCGTCCCCGACTCGACCATGTCCTATTGAATTCCGATTCAAAAACAAATAAATGATTAAGGAATTCCTCCGGCGGCTGGGACTCGACCATTTCCTATCGAATTCCTATTTCAGCGTTCCGAAGGATCCAACCTGTTTATACTAAGTCCCCGCGCAGGTCACTCCGATGCCCCCCCCCCCCCCCCCAGCAGCCCTCGAAAGTGGCGACAGTTTCGCAGACCGCAGCCCCCCCAGGGATGGCGAAGTCAAATCTGTAGGGTCCCTTGGGAATCCTATGGGGTCCCTGAGGAATCCTATGGGTTCCCTTAGGAATCCCACTGGGGATCCTATAGGAATCCTGTTGGAATCCTATAGTAATCCTATGGGATCCCTTAGGAATCCTATGGGATCCCTTAGGAATCCGATGGGATCCCTCAAGAATCCTATAGGATCCCTTAGGAATCCTATAGGATCCCTTAGGAACCCTATGGGGATCCTATAGGAATCGTACGGGAATCCTATGGGATCCCTTAGGAATCCTATGGGATCCCTTGGGAATCCTATGGGGTCCCTGAGGAATCCTACTGGGATCCTATGGGAATCCTATTGGAATCCTATAGGCATCCTATGGGATCCCTTAGGATTCCTATGAGATCCCTTAGGAATCCGATGGGATCCCTGAGGAATCCTATAGGATCCCTTAGGAATCCTATAGGATCCCTTAGGAATCCTATGCGGATCCTATAGGAATCGTATGGGAATCCTATGGGCTCCCTTAGGAATCCTATGGGGATCCCTTGGGAATCCTATGGGGCCCCTTAGGAATCCTATGGGATCCCTGAGGAATCCTATAGGATCCCATGGGATCCCTTAGGAATCCTATGGAATCCCTAAGGAATCCTACAGGATCCCTTAGGAATCCTATGGGGTCCCTTAGGAATCCTATGGGAGCCCTTAGGAATCCTATGGGATCCCTGAGGAATCCTGTAGGGTCCCTTGGGAATCCGATGGGGTCCCTGAGGAATCCTATGGGGGATCCCTTAGGAATCCTACTGGAATCCTATAGGAATCCTATGCGGATCCTAAAGGAATCGTATGGGAATCCTATGGGATCCCTTAGGAATCCTATGGGGATCCTATGGGTATCCCTTAGGTACCCTGAGGAATCCTATGGGATCCCTGAGGAAGCCTATGGGATCCCTTAGGAATCCTATAGGAATCGTATAGGAATCCTATGGGATCCCTAAGGAATCCTATAGGAATCGTATAGGAAACCTATGGGATCCCTAAGGAATCCTATGGGATCCCTGAGGAATCCGATAGGGATCCCTCAGGAATCCTATGGGATCCTACCAGGACCCCTTCCGCGGCCGCGGAAGGGTTGCTGGGGTTGCTGGGGTTGCTGGGGTTGCTGGGGTCCCCCCGGGCCGGTCTAATCGTCCTCATTCAACAACAACAACAACAACAACAACAACAACAACATCATCATCATCATCATCATCATCATCATCATCATCATCATCATCATCATCATCATCATCATCATCATCATCATCATCATCATCATCATCATCATCATCATCATCATCGTCATCGTTGTCCTTCTGTTGCTCCTCCTCCTCCTCCTCCCCCTCCCACTCCTCCTCATCCTCCTCTGCCCTCTCCCCGGATGGAAGGCAAGCGCGCTGAGGCGAGCGACAGGCTGCTCGCCCGCTCCAGGGCCTCTACCTCGGGGGAGGGGGGGGAATCTCCACTCGCCGCGGTTCCTCCCCATCCGGCGACCGAACGGCATCGTCCCACCGCTTCTGA